GGAACCACAGGCACCCACCACAAGCCTGGCTATATTTTTGTTGTTGCAGTTGTCATTGTTACTTAGCTGGCCTGAGCCGAGTTCAAACCCCTCCACCCTTGGTGTATGTGGCTGGCGCCATAACCACTGTGCTACGGGCGCTGAGCCAATTAGTTCTCTGTATACTTAAAATCAATTCAGTACCAAACACACTAGTTACCTAAATCTTCTACAAATAGTATCAGTTTCATCTTCCTTAAAGAGTTTCTTCAGTTTTCCTCCTAAATTTTGTTGTTGTTGTTCTTTTGAGACAGTCTAACTTTATCATCCTTGGTAGAGTGACTGGGTGTCATAGCTCACAGTAACCTCAAATTCTTGGGCTCAAATGATTGTCTTGCCTGAGCCTCCCGAGTAGCTGGACTATAGGTTCCTGTCACAATACCTAGTTAGTTTTTTTAAGAGACAGGGTCTTGGTCTGGCCCACACTGGGGCTGGTCTCAAACTCTTGAGCTCAAGCAATACACTTGGCTAGGCCTCTGAGAGTGCTAGGATTACAGGTGTGAGGCACTGCGCCCAGCCTTGCATGTTTAAATTCTGCTTCCATAATCCTCTCCACACATGTGAGAAGTTTGCTTTCAAAAAAAAAAAAAAGAGAAGTATGCTTTCATGCTTTTAAGAAAAAAGTTATTTTATGTTCTCTGAATAGTTTTTTTTTTTTTTTTCAAACAGAGTTTCGCTTTGTCACCCTCGGTAGAGTGCTGTAGTATCATAGCTCACAGCAACCTCCAAGTCCTGGGCTCAAGCGATTCTCTTGCCTCAGCCTCCCAAGTACCTGGGACTACAGGCACCTGCCATAATTCCTGACTTCATTAGAGACGGGGTCTCACTTTTGCTGAGGTTGGTCTTCAACCTGTGAACTCCGAGCAATCCATCCATGTCAGCCTCCCAGAGTGCTAGGATTACAGGAGTGAGCCCCCATGCCCAGTCTGGATACTTCTTTTTAATAGCATTCTCTTGTTTTATAGATGTAGAATTTTTAAAAAAAATTCTCTCTGGATATGTATGGTACTTTTATGGAATTTCATCTTTCTCCATCATCTGCTTCCCTCATGTTAACTCTTTTTGTTTATGCACAATATCTTTGAAAATGTTAGGTTAAACAGACTCAGTAGAACAAGGACACCTAACCAGTCTTACATTAATTTTTTTTTTTTGTAGTTTTTGGCCAGGGCTGGGTTTGAACCCACCATCTCCAGCATATGGGGCTGGTGCCCTACTCCTTTGAGCCACCAGCGCTGCCCCCAGTCTTAAATTAATTAAAGACATCAACTTTTAATTTTTTAATAAAGCCCTAGTTTCTGACTGTTTTATTAGCAAGTTTTGTTTGTTTTTTTACAGTTTTTGGCTGGGGCCAGGTTTAAACCTGCCACCTCCAGTATATGGGGCCAGCACCCTCCCCTTTGAGCCACAGGCACAGCCCTATTAGCAAGTTATTTTTCCCACATTTACCAGTTCATTACAAAGAATAGTTTAAAGGATACAAATAAACAGCTAGATGAAAAGATACTCAGGCCAGCCTGAGGAAGAGCAAGACCCCATCTCTAAAAAATAGCTGGGCATTATAGCAGGTACCTGTAGTCCCAGCTACTTGGGATACTGAGGCAAGAGGATCACTTGAGCCCAAGAGTTTGAAGTTGCTGTGAGCTATGACATCATAGTACTCTACCAAGGGCGACGAAGTAAGACTCTGCCCCCGGCCCTTGCCAAAAATAAAGGAAAAGGTACACTCAAGGTGAGGTCTGGAAGAGTCCTAAGTGCAGGAGCTTTTGTTCTCTTGGAGCTGGGTTGTGCCACCCTCCTGGCATGTAGGCGACCTCTTATTCACCTTC